ATTTGTATAAGAGAAACATAAGAAATTATTTATTTTTTCACTTAATAAAACTAAGTAACAGTACATTCAATTTGAGAGCCTCTTCAAAATTAGATCTAGAACCATGTCCATTTAAATTACACGAAGTTGTCAGGATATGTTAGAACTATAGTAGAGAGACTATGATAAAAATTTTCAACTCTATACGATGATGTTTCCGGGAGCATATTCAGCAAACAAAAGTCAAAACTAGCTCATGTGGCACGCCAAAATTCTCTGTGAGTCTTCAGTCTACACATTTAATTGATGACAAGTTCAATGTATCGAAAAACTCTTAGAACATGGCGTTCTAATTAAAAAAAGTACTTTTTTTATATTATAATAATAATGCTTCATTCAAAAAAAAAGGAATTCCGTCATGCCTTGCATCTTGACATGCACCTTCAAACAAAAGAAAAATTAAATATATGAAATGAAGACTCACAAAGAATTCCAGGTTGCGCGGTTAAAAAAAGCATAAACAGAGAAAAAGTAAAACAGATGTCTTGCTTATTCTAAAGAATAGTATATTTTTTAAAGTATGAAAAAATTTTCCAGGCTATCTTTACATGCATTTATCTTAATTTCAATTTTTCTGACAGAAATCGACTTTTTTTGAGCCGGAAGGAGAGAGTAGCTTTTTTCTTGATTTATAAATCCGTTTAAAATAATGATATTTATAATTGTTTGATTATTTTTTTTTTATTTAGTCGCAATCACCTCGACCAGTTAGCACTACGAACAGTAATATAAATAACAGTACAAGTACGGTTCGACCATCATTAACAGCTCAACAATTATCACCGTCACCATCGCTTGTTATAATACCAACACCAACTCAAACATCTACTGTTCAAATTCAACCGTATAATTTCATTTTGTTTTGTTTTTGTTGTTATTTTCTAAAATATTTTTATTTTATTATCAAGATCAAATAATATAACAATTCAACAAAGTCCTTTAAACAATAATAATAATAATGGTCCACTTTCAATCAATTCACAAATAGTGTCAACCAATAGTTTAACACCAATGAATTCTAATTATTCATCACCAACAAATCGTGCTTTATCAGTGACTGGTATATACATATATATATATATATAAAATTTGTTATATATTTTATATCAAAAGAATTTTGTTCGAGAAAGAAAAAGTTTAGGAATTAAGACAATTTTTATAAGAAATTTAGTTTATGCCGTATTTAATGATCCAAATTGGATTCTAAAATTATAATATAGCAATAAAAAACTCCATTTATTAAAATGTAGTTAATGTCAATTAAAGCTCTTTAGTCTTTGCGAATTTCATATCCATACTTCGATATCATATTCGAATAATAGGAGCATAAACAAACAACTTGTAATAATAATTCTTATTTAACTGTTGTTCACTAATGAAGGAGCATTTCTAGCTGTTGAACGTTGTTCGACCTGATCTTATGGTTATGAATAGATTTCTTTGAGAATAAGAAAATTCTAGAAAGATTTGAAATCATAACCTACGGGTGCAAAGTTATGGCAGTTTTTCTGGATTTTTAGTAAGAGCAAGATATATAAAAAAATATCAAAATGAAGAGCTTTATTCTAAAATATTGCCTACAGATAAAACTAATAATCATTAAAAAGTTCTTAAATTTTTAAAGAAAATGAACATGCCTTTCTCGAGATGCTCAACTTTCAAATGGATTTCATTAGAGTATCTTTCTATGGTAAGCTGTTATTCTTTTTTCTTGCAAATTGAATAGCTCGAGAAAAGCACGTTCGTTTTCTTTGAAAATTTAAGAATATTTTAATAATTAATAGCTCGATCTGTGCGCGAAATTTTAGGATAAAATTCTGCATTTCGATATTTTCAGAAATACTTCACTCTTACTAAAAACAATTCAGTCAACCAGTCATAACTCTTCATCATCTAGTCATAAGCCCAAATGCTTTTAGGCTTTTCTTATTCTCACATTCATAACCATAATATGAGGCTGAACAGCATCTGGTAGTCGAGGAT